ACAAAAAACGGGCCCATTTTCACGAAATATGGACCGCTTTTTGCTCATTTTTGCCCCCCCCCGCCCCCAGGAGCACTCTACAACCCCCCCAGGCGATTCATGCCTTTTTTTGAAGAAAAAAAAAAACCCGGGCCTGTTTTTGTGAAAAACGGGCTGTTTTTGGGAGGTTTGCAGAGTGCAAAAACTTTTTTTTCCCTTTTGGAAAGTTCTTTAACTGATTGATGAGAATTACATTGATCAAGTGCTGTGCCAGCAGAAACACCTACCTATATACTGTATTTCTCTCTCTAATTCTCTCTCTCTATCCCTCTACCTACCTACCTACCTACACACACTCTTTCTCTCCCTACCTACTTACTGTATTTCTCTCTCTCTATTTCTCTCTCTCTCTATCCCTTTATCTACCTACCTACCTGTTGTGGCCCAGCAGGAGCCGTTGGAGCTGCAAACAGACTCCGACAGCGAGGGGCCTTATGAGACAGCTCTGGAAGAGGTGGAGGACCCTGGACAGGGTTCCGACTCCGATCAGGGCGCAGAGAGGCTGGTTGGCCACCAGGAGGCGCCTGAGGCATGGAGCAGCAGTGAGAGCCGAAGGGAGTGTGCTCTTGACGTCAGACCTTGGAGTAGTGACGAGGAGACAAGGGAGGTGGTCCTGNAATATTGTGAAAAGGTGCAATATTCTAGGCTCAAAGTGTCCCACGCTAAGCAGCTAATTAAGCCATAACACCGGCAAAGGGTTCCTGAGCCTTTAAATCAGTTGTTCTCAACCTGTGAGTCGTGACCCCATTTGGGGTCGAACGACTGTTTCACAGGGATCGCTGAGACCAGCGTAACTCTAAAGTTTAGACTCCACCTCGCGTTCCTTGAAATCCCCACACATGAGCTCCGGAATGGCCGCGCAGAGTGTTGCCGCGGCTCCACAATGTAAAAAACATAGGTGCATGCGCACACCCCATAGAATTAGCCTCAGAGACTTCGTAATGGAGGGAAAGTGTTCCTGTGAGGGAGGAACTTAGGTCCTGCTCCGGGCTGTAATTGTGTGGGGCGTGCGTGCGGCTATGTTTTCCATGCGGCTGCCAGGTATTTTTAACTATATCTAAATCCACAACCAGACCTATCATCAAGAGCCCGAATTGGCCCCATTCACACAATGAAAACCTGCTTGCTAAAAGTACCATAAACCATGCACAAAATAAAAGAGCAAAAAAAAATGCAATGCAAGTAACAATTTAAAAAATGATACAAGTGGAACTATTATTAGAAATAAAATGTAACAGAGTAAATGATATGTATGAAAATATAAAGTTGGGTTTCCTGAAATGCCACCCCGAAAACCCATCAGAGAAAGTAAATAAGCAAGGGTAACAACAGAAAGGAGGAAAGATGAGGAGAGAAAGGAAGAAAAGGTAAAGCAGAGGGAGTAAGGGAGGGGAATCAAGAGTAGGAGAGAGGGTAAGTAGGAGGAGAGGAGGGGAGGAAAGAGGGGAAGAAAGGGAGGAAGGAGGAGGAGGGAAAGGAAGAAAGGGTAAAGCAGAGGAAGCAAAGGAAGGGAAGTAAGAGTAGGAGAGAGGGTAAGAAAGTGGAGAAGAGGAGGAGAGGAGGAAAGAGGGGAAGAAGAAGGGAGGAAGGAGAGGAGGAAAGAAAAAGGCAGAGAAGGGAGGTAGAGAAGATAGAAGGAGCAAAGTTGTTGCAAAATAAAATGGGGTGGCAAGAAAGTGACCCAAACTGTATTTGTAAGAAAATAACAATAAATGATTAATGATATAATTAATGGTAATTATAAGAGTGTATATTTGTGAATAAACTTGAAAGAGAAAATAAAAAACTTTAAAATAAAAATAAACAATAAGCAATGCACGATGTTTGCCCAATAAATTAAGTTTAAGCTTTCCACCGCCAACAAGGTTAAGAGCACTCCTGGAAACAATCCCAAACCAGGTTGAAGATCCATCCAGGCAGGGTAAGCAAGTTTGTGAATGCAGCTNCCATTCTCAGACATCGAAGGGCAGGTAAATTTGCTAACTATGGTTGGAGTAGATGTGGGAGTAGGCTTGCATTAATGGAGATCCACAATGAAAATAATTGAATTCATTGCAAATGAAATTAAAACCACCATGTTTTCCAGGATTATTGCAAAGGTGTGTTTAATAATTGATGAAGCCCAACGCTATCAATGAAAGCTGATAGTTTTTATTAAAGTTGAGGATTCAGAATGCCCGGCAATCATTTTTGCTGACCTGTTGGAATTAGAGAAACAAGATGCGGAGACCATATGTTCTGCAGCGATGGGAAGCTTACATAAAGTTGGATTTACCACTGAATATCTGCAGAAGAATTTAATAGCTTTCTGCTCCAATGCTGCTTCGGAGAAAATCTGGAGCCAGCACCAGAATAGCTCAAGACTTCCCAAACATCATAATCTGGCACTGCTTGAACCACCCCCTTCAACCTGTGCTGGATGATGCGATAAAAGAAATAAAACAAGTTAACCACTTCAACATATTCCTTGATAAGGTACACACCACATTCCAGAAATCCTGCAAGAGCCAGAATGACCTTTTCCAAATCTCTGAACAACTGGGCTTTGAAATTGTGAAGATTGGAAGAGTTTTGGGACCAAGATGGGCTGCCTGTAGTTTAAGGTCAACCATAGCTGTGTGGCGTGCTTATCCAGCACTACATCAGTTTTTTCTGGGCAATGAAAGATTTCCAGGCATGGCTTCCCATTTTGAAAATTTAAATGTTTTGAAGGATTTGGCCTTCATGATCGATATTCTAAATGAGATTTCTCTTCTGTCAAATGCCCTGCAGGGGAGAAACACAAATATCATCAAGGCCGAGAAATTAGTACTGAGAATAATTAAAGCATTTAAAGCTTAGGCGGGGAAAGGGCCCATATGCCACCTGCAATTTGGCAGTTCAGATCTTACCAGTCTCAAGGTTGCAGGTTTCAAAAACCTAAAATTAGTTCCAAATCAACGATTTGTTGTCCTTTCTCGTGAAAACCTTTTGGCAAGCATCATCATCAATTTGAAGAAAAGACTGATAGATTGCGACCATCTAAAAACAGTTAGCCGATTGCCAACACAAACAAATTACATTTATCACATATTTGGAGCTGGATTACTGGAACATTGAAGATTTAGTGATTCCATGGGCAGAAGCAGGGGCAGCATTGATTGAATTTGGTGACATTTTTAATTATGAAATTGATTTGAATGACTACAAACATTTTTTGGAAAATGTGTTAAGGTCCAAAGACCTACAAAATTCCTGACAGTATCAAAAAAGTTAGAGATATTGTCACAACAATTGCTGTTAGTTCAGCAGAGGGGGAAAGGGGGTTCTCAAAAATGAACCTCATATGTTCAGAGCAAAAAACCCACCTAATTGTTCCAAACATAAGTAATCTGATGATAAGCATTGTTGGCATGCCTGTTGAGAGATGGGATCAATTTCTTCAGAGAAAAAGTGGCTCAGAGCACAACATCACATGACTGATGATCCACGAGTAAAGACTAAGAAAAGTGCAACTGAGGAGCCTGAAAGCTTAAGAACAATCTGGAAATATCTTCAACCACAAAACCAATAACATAAGTAAGTACTTGAATGTATCTCTTTTCATTGTGTTATTCTTATGTAAGGTCTAAGTGCATGCAATTAAAGTCTTCCTTTTGTGTCTCTTTGTGCAGGCCATTCATTGGAGCAAGGGTGGTCAGTGATGTAGAAGACCTGCAAGACAGTCACCTTTCCTATGTAAGTAGCTGTTTTATTGCCTTGTGTGCTGTTTACATTCTTAATGTGGTAGTGCATGCAATTAAAATCTTCCTTTCTGTGTCTCTTTGTGCAGGCCATTCATTGGAGCAAGCATGGTCAGTGATGTAGAAGACTGGCAAGGACAGTCATCCTTCCTATGTAAGTAGCTGTTTTATTGCTTTCTGTGCTGGTTACATCCTTAATGTGGTAGTACATGCAATTAAAGTCTTCATTTCTGTGTCTCTTTGTGCAGGCTTCAGGAAAACCTCCGGAGGGCGAAAATCTCAAGGTTGACTCAGCCTTCCATCCTTCTGAGGTGGGTAAAATGAGGACCCAAATTGTTGGGGGCAATATTCTGACTCTGTAAACTGCTTGGAGAGGACTGTAAAGCGGTATATAAGTCTAAGTGCTATTGCTATTGCTATTTTTCCAATAATAATTAAAAGAGGCAGCAAGGACCACAGAAATTACTTGGAACTATTCTGTGCATAATCTTTACAAGTTTACTTTTAGCCTTCTCAAAGCTTGTATCCTTTATGTACAATATGCTAGGACTTTTAGGTTTCAGGTATCTAGAGCTCACCAGATTGGGAAAAATTGTTTTATAATCTGCATATGAACTAAAAGTATGCTTTAAAAACAATATTGGCAATCCTTCTGAAGTAGGCTGTAGACAGAGTATAAATTCTAGCGATTTTAATAGCTTTGTAATTTATCTATAACTAAGCTTCCCCCACCCAATATTAAACAGACTCAGTTCACATAATTATGCTTATCCCATTAAAGTGTTCTATGTATGTCAAGTGTAACATGCTAGCTTCCTAAAACAAATGCACTGACCAACTCCTAAAGGTCTATGTCACTAGGTTTCGCCTTTCTCCGTAGGACAATACCCTTCTCACCTACTGATAGGTCTTCGCGGGGAGTTACATTTCTTTTGGAATAAACAAACTCCAATCCCATAATCTCTAATTTATGGGAAATGAAATCTAAGTATCTGAAAATTTAATCAACGTAAAAAAACACCACGTTTAGGCGACCATAATACAACAGCTACTTACTACGCTGATCCAATCATGCTCCATTTATGGCAACAGCAATTTCCAACACATTCATGTATGTCCCTCGGCGCACTGTAAATTGGGAAATGTAGTTTCCGATGAAATCCTGAACTACTAGTCGCACTACGCATCTGCAAGATTTCGTGATAACATTCCCCTACAGGAACTGTTCTGTGATTTGTGGGAAATGGTGGTGTCCTAGCAACTAGGCTATCTAGTAGCTACTGACGATTCCAATGACTCCTTATAAAGAAACGGCCGGGCAGGAACGAAAGAGAGTCGGTCCAGCCGCTTTTCGGAGTTTGAGAAAGGAAGAGAAGCGGCCTTTCGAATTGCTAGCGCCGCTGTTCAGCGCCTTTTCCCAAGGTTTCGGTTTTGACAGAAGCTCAGCAACTTCTGCCCCTAGTTCCTCTTGGTCGTGCTATCCAACTGTCGTCTTGAAGCTGCCCCGAGTTTTTAGAATAGTACCCTGGTAAAAAGTGGGGAGGCGAGGTCCCTTTGCAACCCACACCTCACCCGCCGAAGGATGCTTGAGTCTATTCGAGTCACTGGTGAGTAACAATGCCTTTGTTTCCTTTATAGTAGGAATTCTGATAAAACGGGGGTTGGGGAGAGAGAGGGAGAGAGAGAGAAAGAGAGAGAGAGAGAGAGAGACACTTGACTCATTGATTTAAAATAGGTCCTCTTAAAATTGTTTGTGTAACAATGTATCATTTCTGAGAATTTAAATCCATCAGGGAGCAATTAGATCAGTTCCATGAATTCTGTTGAGTAGAGTAATATGGGCTTGACAATTGAACATAATATAAGTCTGTATGGTAATGTTTAAAAAAAGGACATAATTTCTTCCGAACTGGGAATTGTTTTCTCACATAAAATACCTAATGGAATAATATGTGCTTAAGTAAATTGAAAATTATTATTTTCAAGATTAGTGTGGTTTTTTGGGGGTGGGGGATATAGAACATTATTACAGAGATAGCATTACAATAGTCTGACAGTTTGGTCTGTCTCTCTCCCTCCCTCCCTTCTCCCCACTCTCTCTCTCACATACACATGCACACACGTGCACACACACACACAAATCTAGATAATATTGATCTGTCTATACAGAAAAAAGAGGGAATCCTTTACTCTCTGAAAAATTCTGGGATCTACTATGGAGAAAAAATCGTGGAAAGATTTTTTTTCCTCCTTGTGCAAACAGGTAAATTAGTAGCCATGCTCTATATGGTTGTTATTGTTTGCAACCATGTTAGGTCTATCAGTTCTGGTCTACATATATCCAGGCCACAAGATACCATCACAATATTGTATATCTGTTTGCTGTCATCTAATGCCTGCCTGGATGTTTGTACCTTTTTTGTTCAGAGAAAAACATTTCGTTTGCTGCCAGATTGCTTTATTTTCTCTTGATTTCAAGAAATTTTGTGGAGTTCTCAGCTCATTCCTGTATTAAATTACTCTGCTTTAGGAAGCCTCTTTGAACAGGTTGCATGAGTTTCAAAAATACTCTGTCTTCGTTTCCCTCTCAGGGCCAGGCATGCCAAATAATTTAACATCCGGTTCTCAGTTGGGGACCCCTGTTCTAGATGGACTGGCCTGCAGATTTCCTTTGGTCTTGTTATGAATATCTCTTAATTTCATTCTTCCCATTTTGGTTTTACCAGTATCTCACCAAGAGTTCTTATTCCCATAAGTGTTGCTTTCAGGATCACTGAATCTACTGAGTTTCTCTACCTCATCAGAATGTGGCAATCACAAACCAAGGAAAACATGAAATTTCAGAGTTGAAATGANCTTTTCAGTTTGACAATATAATACGTTATCCAAAATTATAAATAATCTTATTTTCAGATGCATTTTTTTGCCATGTTTTTTCTTTTTAAAAAACCAGACTTGCTCCCAATTTGTACCTTCTGGCAAACTGCAGTTTTCTTGGCAAGAGGTCTAGTTTGCCATTGCTTTTGTCATATGTCTGAGAAAGTTTCTTTCTTTCTTTCTTTCTTTCTTTTTCTTTCTTTTCTTTCTTTCTCAATTTGTTTCCCTCTCTTTCTCTCCCTTCAGCTCTTTCATTTCTCTCTCCCACTCCCCCTTTTCTCTCTAATTTGTTTCCCTCTCTCCCATTCTCTCCTTCCAGCTCTTTCATTTCTCTCTTTCTCTCTCTCTCTTTCTCCCCTCTCTGATGCTGAGGAGAGCCACACTGTGCAGGAGACTCCCCAGCGTCAGACTCAGGTCAGTGGCAGCCACGGTTCCTTCATGTTGGCTTCGTGTTCCCTCCCTGCACCCAACCAGCTGCTGCTGCTGCTCCCCAGTCCTCTCCTTCCTGAGCCAACATGAAGGGGACCGCGGCTTGCGCTGACCTGAGTCTTGCGCTGACCTGAGTCTCCTGCATAGCGTGGTTCTGTGAGGTAAGCACAAGAAAAGGGCTGGAGCTATTCTCCTTTGACACCTGTTGATGCTTTTGCCCAGCGCTAAAAGCCGCCCCGATACTGCTTACCTTCCTCTCCACAACCTTCCTCCGAAAGCTTTTCCCCAAATAATACCAGCAGCCATTTCATCTCCACCAAAGTAGATACATACTCACGCACGCACACACTCACACACACGCACGCACACCAAACAAAAAAATGAAAAATGGCAGAAATGGAGAAAGAAGTTAGCCCTCCAGAAAATAAAAGCAGGAGGAAACTGGCTCATCCTGTAAAAAGGGAAATCAATGAAGAGATAAAGGTACATCTCTGCACTCCCCCTTTATTGTCACTGTATTGCAAGCGAGAAGGGAAGAAAAAGGGAAGAGGGGTAGCTTTTGAACCATTGAATCACAGGAAGAATGAGCGCCCTCTACTATGAGGCAGAAGAACTGTATGCCTCACCCATCTCTGGACTTTTTAGGCTTTTAAGCCTTGCTTAATTCTGCTCAAGTGATCATAAAACATCTAAAAAGTCAGATTTGATGAGGCACGCAGTTCTCCTGTTTCATAATAGAGGGCGCTTTTTAGAGGCTTTTTTAAAGAGTTAAGCAGAGTCATCCACGGTGAGGCAGCAGCTAACTAGCCTCACCTCGGCTCTCGCCTTTTTCCTTTTACATTTTTTTTCTTTTCATGATCAGAGCAGTGAGGCTCTGCCTCACTTGCCTGCATGTCACTGGCCACTATAGTTATACCCATACACACTGCTATAAATATATTTCAGTGTAACTATAATATTGTTTTTAAAAAAATATGTATCATTAATTGAATGCCAGAAAAAAACTTACCTCAAAATTTATGTTCATACATGAATTTCCATGTGTATTAGAGATACATTGAGTGACAAAATTGATACACTGCGTATCAAGCAATGTTTTTTTCTAACATTGAAAAATAATGATCTCAAACTTATATTTGCTCAATTGGTGCTTTATTTTATTCTTTCTCAGACAGAAACAAATTCAAGGGGACAGAACACAGTGTTGCTATCCCTATTTCTTTGTGTATGATATGTGTCAGCATATTATCCCAATAGTTCAAACAGGAAGACAGACACTGAATAATGTTTAATTAATAGCACTGGAAAAAACTACTATAGAAGAGATGTATATTCTATGGCACACAGGTTCAAAAGGTTTACCTATCCCTATAACTCCAAACTACTTTACTAAACTTCAAAAGCTCCATAAATCTTTATCTTTTTGGACTATTCGCATTCTAGATGCTGTTTCTATATCTTGTATTCTCTCTGCTAATCTGCCTGCAACCATCTTGATGTATTTTTCTTCCACTCCTTCATCTTATCATGTACATATTTGGGCAATTAACAGTGACCTAATGATGCTTTCCACTGAGATATTTTTTTTAAAAAAATCTAAACTAATTGGTTCTATTTTAATTTTCAGTAACACTCCCAACCTAATGGAAATGAAAATGGTGGCTGGACCATAAAACTAATGAAAGCACCATAGTTGCTTACTAAGGTCTGCAGTTGTCATTCCTCCTGAAAATATTTGTGTGTGTGTGTGCACATGTGCACGCATGCAAGAGGAAGAATGTATTCACATATACATATTACTATGCTCTAGTCAAAAATGTCCTTTTCTTCATCAACTACTGTGTTTCCCCGAATAACGCCATTCCACATTTTTCTGGTGGGCAAAAATATAAGCCCTCCCCTGCAAATAAGCCCCCTGGACAACCCCCCCTCTGGCCAGGCAGAGCACCACTTAACAACATAGGAGTATCCCGAAGGTGCCAAACCACGGGAACTGGGGGGGGGGAGGTGATCGCGTTGCTTGGTGCCTTCAGGATACTGCTAGGTTGGTCAGCAGTGTTGTGCCCAGCTGGAGGGGGGGTTGCTGGGGGCTGCTCTCTTGAACCCTTTCTCGGTTTCTTTTCCACCACTTGAGTCGGGATGTCTTAGAGTCAATTCATGCTCTTTTTTGTTGTCTCCCCTCCGATCGCTCACTTATGCCAATTAGTTCTTTCGGGCCGGTCTTTGCCTCTAAAAATCTGCCGCTCTCATTCCTACAGGTGGCCACTCGGTTACACTCGATCTCTAGAGACTCATTGCTTTGCCCGTTCTTCTCTGCGATCTTCCTTTTCTGCCAACACTCGCTGTTTCCACTCACAAGCCAATCCATTAATCCACTCGATGACACCACAGGTTGATTGAATTCTTCCTTCCCCTTTTAGATAGTTTGTCGAGACCTCAAGTCCGCCATTGAAACAAGGCAGATGCTTGCACGCCGGATTAAAAGTGTAGCCCCATGTCATAGTGGGTGGTCACCCTCCGCCTTGTTAGTCCTAGGGTTTCCCGACTCCTCCACGACTCTCTCCAAGATCAGCGTACCCTCACAGGGGTCCTCCAAACGTGTAGATTGAGGTAAGAAGTCAGAGCCCTGATTTCTTCCCCACACTTGTCCAGACGTCACCACCCGGTGGCACAATCAAATATCAACCAGTTATTTTCTTAGAAAGAATCTTCAGCCATTTTCTTGGTCATGATACAATAGTTACACATTATAATATCATCATAGAAAGAAATAAAAGTTAAAATGAGGTAATAGTAAGGAAGTTTTGTCATGAGTGTCTTTTATATATGCAAATATTCTACGTTTGTATTTCAGATCTTCTTTGATTCCACATGTTTAAACAATACTATTTTATACTACATTGATCAGTGTGCTATCTGTTCATGTCTAGGTCAGTAAATTTTTTATATCTTCCTGGAGCAGAACTACCTATGGTAGATTGTGATAATACCACATTTGACTGATTGATGGTTAAAGAGAAAGGTTTTTCTCTTCCAGTATTGTGAATGAAAAAATCTACTTCCTCTCCTGTCACATTAATTACATCTTTTGCAACAATCTGAATATACCGTATATACTCGAGTATAGGCCGACCCGAATATAAGCCGAGGCACCTAATTTTACCACAAAAAACTGGAAAAGTTATTGACTCGAGTATAAGNGTCTTTTCACAACACATGGCATTCCGGACACTTTAGTGTCCGATAATGGACACAACTAACACCTGCCACATTCCAAGCATTTTTGGCAAGTTTAGGTATT